AAAGACAAGATTGAAACAGTTCATAATTCAGAATGTAAGCTACGAGCTGTGAGTTACCTTCTAAGTCATGTTTGTCCTGGATTGAATTACTTTCATGTTATAATTGATTAATATAATTGAACGAATGGCAGTTGAAGAAAGTAGACATTGTTTAAAGGCTTTTGGCATTGGAAGAGACTGATCCAAAGTACTTGCGAGACATGGTCCTCAGCCTCATTGCAGACGGAAAAGATACAACGGCTAGCACTCTTACATGGTTTATTATATGCTCTGCAAGCATCTTCATATACAAGAAAAGATTTTACAGGAAGTTAGAGAAGCAACAAATCTGAAAGATAATTCAAGCATTGATGAGCTTTCAGACAACCTTACTGAAGAGACCCTTGAGAAAATGCAATATCTCCTTGCAGTTTTGAATGAGACAACCAGGCTGTACCCTGCTGTTCCACTGGTAATTATAATTCAAACACAATTGCAAGGCTAAGCTGATATAAACAACATTGTCTGCTGACCTTTCTGACTTTGAATCTTTATAATTACTTTTAACAAGTTTTATTCGTATTAGCGTGTGGTCGTTCTGATTCAATTAAAAAAGATAAGCTGAAGATATACAAAGAAGATTAGAAAGGTGAAATATTAAGACTTGGGCTTCCTTCAAAAAGATATATAAATATCTCTGCCATTTAAATCTCCAGAGAATGAATGGTTGAAAATCCAAATGCCAAGTCCTAGGAGCACACTACTACACTTGCTCGAGGAGTTCAAGAACATTAGAGAGCTTAAGAAAATTCATACCCAAATCATAAAGTCTCCATTTTTATCCACAGATGACCAAGCTTTCCTCATTACCCGTCTCCTATTCTTCTCCGCCATTTCTGATTCTGATTCGGGTTCTCACAGATACGCTGCTCATGTCTTTCGGGCCATAAAGGATCCGAATCTCTACGTCTATAACGTCATGATCAGATCATATGCGTGTACAAAAATCAGTAGTGAGGATGAAACTCTTTCTTCGTTTGGGTCCTTATTGCTGTATAAGCAAATGCTCTGCGATGGCATTTCCCCTAATTGTCTCACTTTTCCGTTCCTTGTAAAAGAATGCACGAGTAGGCTTGATGGCGGCACAGGCCGGAGTTTCCATGCACAAGTCGTTAAGTATGGGCTCGACAATGATGTTTTTATTCAAAATTCGTTGATTGGTATGTACTCTGCATGTGGGTTTCTGAATAGTGCACGTACATTGTTTGATGAAATGTTGGAAAGGGATGTTGTTTCATGGAACTCGATGATTAAGGCAACGAATCTGTTTGGGAAGATGAACAAGAGAAACATTATTACTTGGAATTCCATGATTACTGGGTTTTTATCAAGGTGGTCAGCCATGGAACTTTTCCATGAAATGCAGATCACCAGTGGTGATATGGTTAGGCCGAATAAGATCACAATTGCCAGTGTCCTTGTCGCTTTGTGCTCATCTGGGTGCATGGGTATCTGAGGAGTGCCTGGAGAGTGATATGGTCATTGGGACAGAAATTCATGTCTTCCCGCAAAAGCCCTTTTTGTTAATTTGACTTGCTTGCAGAAATAAATGTCTATATGTTGAAGAAGGAAGTTCTTCCCATGATTGAACATGAGGTTTCTGTTTGTAGTTTCAATTGTTCAAACACACAGATAAACGTGGACACCCTGGTGTTGCTAGCAAACCGATAACTGTTGTATATTGTATATCGTTTTAGGGTGTCAATGATAAATAATTCAACGTCAATATTTATATTGATTTCATCATAAGTTATTGTTGTTTGTTTAGCAAATTTTACATTTACTGCTTTTCATGATATAATATTCTAGTTCTACTATCCACTCATCTATGATTTTTTGGGTGCAAAAAACTCAAGTAAGTTCATTCGGTCAATCACACGAAGCTGCTCCACCTCATCTACATTATCCTGGTCTTCCTCCCGAAAAGGCCTCCTTAGATCTAGCTCCAGAAGTTCTTCGAAGCGGACTCATTTCAATGATGGTCTTTTTTATGACAATGGAGCAATGGAATCTAGATGCCATTCGTTAACACTAGGAAAGCTATATGCTTGGGAGAAAAAACTCTATGAGGAGGTGAAGGTAAAATATTAATCTAACAATTGTTTGCTTTATTCAGCTTTATTGATTTCTCCTACTGCACAACCTAGATAATTTGAGAATAACTTGAATCATCTTTAAATTTTGTACGTTCAAGACCGGAGAGGAAACCATGAGAATGTATGAGCGAAAACACTCCCAATCGAGACATGGCCAAAAGACCGGGGACAAAATTGGAGTTGAAGTTGAGGAGTTGCGTTCCAGAATTTTGGTTACCATAAGAAATTCTGAATAATCAGTCTTCAAAAAAATTCGAAAGCTGCGAGATGAAGAGATGCATCCACAACTTGTTGAGTTGCTAGATGGGTAAGATAGATCTCACGAATTTATTTGTACTATATGAGAGGCCTGACATTTTTTGAATTTTGTTATATGAGGTCTCTTGCCCATTTTCTGCAGGCTAATGAGAAATTGGAAGATAATGTCAGTATCTCATGAAACCCAAAAGAGAATCATGTCTGAACTGAAATTTCTCAATTGTTCATCCTATGGAAAGTTCTCTAATGAGTCACACCAGCTTGCTACTCAAAAGCTTGAAGCAGAACTTCAAAATTGGCGTGCATGCATTGCAGAATATGTTTCTTCGCAGATGTATATTGAAGCTCTTCATGGCTGGCTACACAAGTTTGTTACCCCTGAAACTGAATCCTACACAGAAGCTTGGTCTTCACTTCGACCATGTAAAGTCAACATGATACCCTCACTTGAAATTTGTCACAATTGGTTAGTTTGCCTAGATAATCTGCCAGATAAAGATGTGACTTGTGCCATGAAAAGTTTTGGGAAGGATGTACAAGCCTTGATGGTCCAACAAGGCAAGGAGCATCAACAAAAGAGGAAGGCTGATGGGCTTGCCAGAAAATATCCTAGGAAGGTTTTGGCATTTGAAATAATGAAAAGTATTCTTTAGTTGAAGTTTTTTGATAATGAAATGAAATTGCTTGCACAAAAAGGCTTGACAAAGATGGAGAACGAGTTGCAAGGAGATGGCGAAACATCATACCAGCATGAAGGACACACAAAATATTACTGTGAATGGATTTCAGACGGGGTTTTCGTCAGTTTTTGAATCCTTGACTGAGTTTTCAAAGAGTGCTATGAAAATGTACGATGAGCTTATAACATTTAGTGAGAATGCAATGAGGGTAGATGACACAAGTAGCAAACCACCTGGCAGCATCCATGTTGAAGCTGATGACAGTTGAAAAAAAATATGTTTCAAGGGATTTGAGAATGTTAGGAACTTTTTAATTTTTTATTATTACATTTATTTTTTAGGAAATTTTAAGAATTGATTCATATGATTGGTTGTTATATCAGCAACGTCAAGATATCCACCAGTAAGGTTTGTTAACTTATGTCAACCAAGAAAGGATCCTCAAGGGGCTCGTCTCTGTATGAGAGGTCATCCGGGTCCCTTCCTCTAATAGCATCCAAAATAACAGCACAATCTGCAGCACTTCTACAGACAGGGCCAAGCTTATCCTGTTAAACAGATGAGCTTCCGATTTTATTACTCACTGCAATCCCCACCCGAACAAGAAAGACAAGATTCAGAATTTATGCAAAAGAAGAAAAACTGTGCAAAACAAATGAGATTCAGCTTAACAAAGCAAGAAGAAGGCCCTGCTCAAAGACGTCTCCTTCGGTGACAAACTTGTGTAGGCTCACTTTCCGTGACAAATTTATTTAAGCTGTGAGAGAACGGACCAACACTACGTGAAAGGCGGACAGATAGGTGCAGCCGCACCCTGCATGATCACTTTTTTGTCCGACTCTAAAACCTTAAGCTAATAGAAAATGTGCCAAAATGTATATCAAGCTATGGGATTGGTTCTTGCATGTGAGCTACATCAATTTTCTTCTTTTTTTCCTTTTTTGTTCATGTACATCTCAATGTCATTGTGCTGGCACATATTGACTATTTATGCATGAAACTTACACCAAGTAGAGGCTGAGGCTGCAGCAACAGTTCCTCTAAGACAACGATGATGTGGGAGGACTTGGGATTGGGTCATTTGGTCCAAGATCATCAATAGGAGGCTGCTGCCTATGGTGATTGGTGACTGATTGGTAAGCCATAGCAAGTGCAAGAGCCTGCACATGAAAATATATATATATAAAGTGAGAAAAATATTAAACAGTTAGTATTTCTGACTATAATTAATTCCATAGGAAAAAAATTAATTAAGTTGGCTTGAGCTTACAATATGGTCACGTTCAGGAGGAGCATAGATACCGGTGGTGATAGTGGTTCTTCTTCGAGTGGTGTTGTTAGGAGGTGGATTTGGTATGTTCTTGAACCCCGTTGGAACAACGATTACAGGCAAAC